TAAAGCAAAGGACACCGTCATCAAAACAAAGCGACTGCCTACAGATTGGGAAAGAATCATCACCAACCCTTTATCTGACAGAGGACTCATATCCAATATATATAAAGAACTAAACAAGCTGAAAAGCAACAAACCAAGTAATCCACTTAAAAAATGGGGAACAGAGCTAAAGAGAGAATTCTCTGTAGAGGAATATCGAATGGCAGAGAAGCACTTAAAGAAATGCTCAACCTCATTAGCCATTAGGGAAATGCAAATCAAAACAACCCTGAGATTTCACCTTACACCCATCAGAATGGCCAAGATGAAAATCTCAAAGGACAACACATGCTGGAGAGGTTGTGGAGAAAGGGGAACCCTCCTCCACTGCTGGTGGGAATGTAAACTGGTAAACCACTCTGGAAATCAATCTGGCGCTTTCTCAGACAACTAGGAATAGCGCTTCCTCAAGATCCAGCCATACCACTCCTAGGCATATACCCAAAAGAGGCACAAGTACACAAAAAGGACATTTGCTCAACCATGTTTGTAGCAGCTTTATTTGTAATAGCCAGAAGCTGGAAACAACCCAGATGCCCCTAAACTGAAGAATGGATGCAGAAACTGTGGTACATCTATACAATGGAGTATTACTCAGCAATGAAAAATAAGGAAATCATGAAATTTGCAGGTAAATGGTGGGACCTGGAAAGGGTCATCCTGAGTGAGTTGTCCCAGAAGCAAAAAGACACGCATGGTATATACTCACTCATATAAACATACAATATAGAATAAACCCACTAAAATCTGTACATCTAAACAAACTAAGCAAAAGAGAGGACCCTAACTAAAATGTTCAATCCCCATCCTGAAAGGCAAAGAGGATGGACATCAGAAGAAAAAGAAAATAGGAAACAACCTCGGAACCTGCTACAGAGGGCCTCTGAAAGCCGGAAGAAAACAGGAAACAACCTTGAAACCTGCCACAGAGGGCCTCTGAAAGCTTCTGCAGTATAGACTGTCAAAGCAGATGCTGAGCCTGATGGCCAACTGATGGGCAGAGTGAATGGAATTTTAGGTAAGAAGTGGGAAATAGTAAGAGCTGGAGGGGACGGGAACTCCACAGGGAGAGCAACAGAACAAGATAATTTGAACACAGGGAACTTCCCAGAGACTCATACTCCAACCAAGGACTATTCGTGGAGATGACCTGGAACCCCTGCACAGGTGTAGCCCATGGCAGTTCAGTGTCCAAGTGGGTTACATAGTAATGGGAAGAGGGACTGCCTCTGACATAATCTGATTGGCCTGCTCGTTGATCACTTCCCCCTGAGTGGGGAGCAGCCTTATCAGGCCACAGTAGAGGACAATGCAGCCACTTTTGATGAGAACTGATAGACTAAGATCAGAAAGAAGAGGAGAACCTCCCCTATCAGTGGACTTGGGGAGTGGCATGCATGCAGAAAGGGGAGGGAGGGTGGGATCGGGAGGGGAGGAGGGAGGAGCTTATGGGGGGATACAAAATGAATAAAGTGTAATTAATAAAAAATTAAAAAAAAGAATTAAATATCTTTTCTCATTTGTTCAGAGTTGCTCTGCAGTCACTTTAAGTGAGGTGCAATAAACCACAAAATTCACATCAGAAGAAACCTTTGCAAGAAACTAAACATTTAGAAGTAGAAACGAGTAACATATAATACAGTGTTTAGGGGCTGTGTTTAAATTGAATGGGAGTCAGCAATCTTTCAGGTATTATTTGTTCTGCAATTATCACTTGGCTGGTTATAGCAAAACTGAATATGTGATAAAAATATGAATGCCTTTGCCTTGTTAGTGGACTGTGTTTCCAAAGATTCTATAAGATATCCATTCTCATTCAGCACAGAGGTAAGGTACAGTGAGGAGTGGCACTATCTCAAAGTTCTTCATGTTCTGTTTCTACTGACTGTTCATTGCTACTGCCCTCTGGCAGTGTTTCCTGTTTCACTGCAGTTCTTCCTTATTAGCACATCCTCATTTTCACATTTTAGTTAGAGGAAAAATGCTTTCAATAACCAATGTACATCATTTTATTTTGAAGGGAGATAGGATTTGTCAAGAATATCTTAGTTCTTAGGTATTAATTGAACTTAAGCCTCCGTGTTCAATGAGAAATGCTTTTACTTTTTACTTAACAATGTCCAGTTCCTCTAAAAGTCCAGTGATTTTATTTTTCAACTTTGTGCACAGGAGTCATCATTCAGGAAAATATCCCTGAAGTGTAATCCACTTTTCCACCAGGCCTTGTAATACCAGATCAGCTCATCATCATACACACTAAATTACAAAGATATCATCCTTCACTTAGGATAACTACAAAATGTCCTTTCTTAGGATAACTAGTCTAGTTTATTTGATAGCAATGATATTGATATAGCACTATGAAATTATAGAACTACATTTGGTTAAGTAGAGGGCTTTGGAGACAAATTGTCTGAGCAAGAGTCAAGAATGTATTGCTTTCTAGAGCATACATTTGCAAGAAAGTGCAATAATAGAATGGTCTTCATGTTTTTTTTTATGATCACTAAACAAAATGATCCATGTAAAATTCTACCAATATGTAGTAAAAGCCACTTACTAAGATATTAAGCAAGATGGTTGTTTATTATGCCTCCATGTCTCCATTTATACATAGTAGTTATTATCTGTTAACAACAAAATGAAGAATACACACATTCTTTAGAACAAGTCTGATGGTCACCAAGATAGTGGTATTGAACAATGCTTTAGACATGAGAATGTATTCTATCTATAGGCAGACTAAAAAAATATGAAATAGCTCATAATTCTAAATCTTTATCTGTTGCTCATTTTCATCTCATTTAAGGTTCCAATGCTCTGTTATACACTAGCTGCAAAAATAATCAGAGAAAACTTAATTTATAAATGAAGTTATAGCATCTCTAGTGTCTTTGATATCTTGTTTGTTTGTCTGTTTTTGTTTTTGTTTTTGTTTTTTTGAGACAGGGTCTCTCTGTGTACCTCTGGCTGTCCTGAAACTCACCATATCCCCTAAGTTGGTCTTGATCCTTCTGCCTCTGATTTCCAAGTTCTGGGATTAAAGGCATGTCCTAGCTGTCTATGGGATTTAAAAATTTTCCTCCCTCCTTGCTTCTATACTCTTTTAAAATCTGTTACTTTACTCAGCTAAACAAATTAACACCATAATATATCTATAATTTCATTTAAAAGTAATATGTGCCATAGATGATCACTTAAAAATCTTCACATAATTCCTAGATTGGTTGAATGTAATTATGGGATCTGTCAGGTGTATGATGGGATGGGGAGGTCACTGTGTTTGGATATAGCTTGTTTTTCTTCTGAATCTTATGCAGTTTGTCAGGTCATTTAATTAGATTAAAAAGGTTTATGAACAGATTCAACTAAAGAGACTCAGAGGATGAATTAAAGTGTTATTTAATTTTGTAGCTAATCAATTCAACTAGAAAGAAAAATTATGGCTGACAAAATCTCATCTTTTAAGAAGCCAAGGAATACAACATTATTAATCTTGCAGGTTAGGAGGAGGTTATGATCTTACATCATTAGACACAGATAACAAATGCCAGTGAACATTCTTGGATTCAGGACATAACTGGGAAACAAGATTAGAGGAAACTATGGAGACTTGTAGTCCAAGCATCACACCAACCAGGAATGACTTTCTTTGCACAGTGCCTTTCTGAGAGCACCCTTGACTTCAGCATTCCTTAGGCTGTAGATCAGGGGGTTAAGCATGGGGTTGAAAAAACTGTAAAAAAGGAATAGGATCTTTTGCTGCTCCTCAGGGTGCTGGGACTTGGGGGCCATGTACATGACGATGGCGCTGCCAAAGAAGAGCCCAACCACACAGAGGTGGGAGGAGCAGGTGGAGAAGGCCTTTCTGCGGCCCTCCCCTGACTGGATCCTCAGGATGGCCACCAGGATGCGTGTGTAGGAGATCAGAACCAAGCATAGTGGTCCCACTAAGATGAACACACAGGCGGCAAAGATGACAACTTGGTTGAGTGTTGTGTCAGCACAGGCCAGCCTGAGGACAGACAGGATTTCACAGAAGAAGTGGTTGATTTCATGAGGCCCACAGAAGGGCAGCCTCAGGATGAGAACTAAATGGACCAGAGCCAGGAGAAAGCTAAATATCCAGGAAACAGCAGCCAGGAGGGCACACACTCTCCAGCTCATGGTGACGGTGTAGTGTAGGGGGTGGCAGATGGCCACATAGCGATCGTAGGACATCACCACAAGGAGTACACATTCAGTGTGTGCAAAAGCCAAGAAGAGAAAAGTCTGGGTCATGCATCCGGCAAAGGAGATGGGCTTGGTCTCATCCAAAAGGTTCACCAGCGTCTGGGGCACTGTGTTGCAGGCATAGGCCATATCAACAACGGCCAGGTGGGACAGGAAGAAGTACATCGGAGTGGAGAGTCTGGAGTCCAAGCAGATTATTCCAAGGATAATCCCATTCCCCAATATGGTGAAAGTATAGAAGAGAGAGAAAAGTAGAAAAAGAACTAGATGAATCCTTGGGCCAAGACAAAATCCCAGCAGGATGAACTCTGTGACCATTGTCTGATTTTCCTCCATTTCACTATGAAAGAGGATGCAGAGACCTGAGACTCATTTTTTAAAACGTGTTCTTCTCGCACATCTGTTAGATTTTAGCAACATGTAAAAACTATTAGTAAACATCAATAGGACATATTGAATTCATTAATAAATTAATGATGAATTATTAAAAATTTGTGCATAAACTAAAGTTTTAACTGACATCCAATTTTTAAAAAAGGAATACATCGCCTGTAGCTACTTCCTTAGAATCACTGGAATGAAGCAATTAAGAACTAGCAAACCCTCCATAGAGAAAAAATGTGAAACATAGTTTGTCTCAGAGTTTTACATGTGCAAGGATGTAAAAGAATTACTGAGGTTTGTAACTCAACATCACACCAACTTGGAATGAATACAAAGCAAGTAGTGAAGGAGTTTTAAAAATGCAAATAATAGCAGAAAAGAAAAAAGTAATTAATTTGATAGAATTTATGTTTGGTACTTTAAGCATCTAAGTCATAGCTAAAATCTAGAGGGTGCTTCTATAACTTTACTCAAAGAAAATTATAAAGTAACTTTTTAAAAAAATTATTGGGTTGTTTGTTCAGCAAGTAGACATTTGATGGGTAAGAAAATCCAGAGTCTTCCTGTAATGCAAGACACTGTTTAGATGCATACATAAAATATGAAATGTTAGTCGTGAGGAAGGAGGTGGTGGAAATTATATCTAATAACAATAATATATGATGTGTGGCTACGTATTTTTTGTGAGTATCCATCCCAAATATGCATTAATGCCTTGAAAATTAGACAATAGCCAATGTTTGGTAATTTGGTGACTATAGTCAAGTGGAAAGTCATAGAATTATCAACACATTACAAAAAAAAGGGACAATTTTTGTTTCACCAAATGAATTACCACCCAGACTCAGTGTATCTGAGCTCCTATGAACATCCAAGGATTTGGAAGGTGGCTTGGTAAGCGCCTATATGCATACTATTGTAGGCAAATGTCTCATACACTATTTATTCAGACTGCTCTTTCTAGGTTTTCTCTGAAGAAAACTGGCATAGAATAAAAATAAGGAAGAGGTAGGCTGATTTCATTGTTATTCTAATCCCTCATACTTGTAACACACACTATATTTGAAATCCAAAGCACAAGTCTTTGCAATTTAAACTGGAACAACTTTGGCTGATTTTTGGCATCAATAATTATACATGTTGCAACTTTTCCATAAATAGTAAGAGGAATGACATTGCTTTGGGCCAATCTCTACTTTAAATAGCATCAGTACCAAGGAAACTGGCGCAACAGACAGGATTTTATTCTGAGAAAGACACTCATAAAACAGACATGCAACTGATGAAAATGAAGGTGGAAATAAGACAACATTCGCAAAAACAGGACTGGCACGTTCGGGCAGGGGTCACCTGAAAACCTGCTTCGTATATTCGCCAAGTAGTGTGGAGGGTGCATTTAAATAAGGATTCATATGTAGTCAGTTTCAGGAGATAGTGTTGAAGACAGAGTGTAAAATGAAGGAAAGTAATGTGTTTGGAGTGTAGAATTTGGGCAAGAGAGGTAGAATTTGACAGTGCAAGAGAAATGATGTCTGGGAAAGGGACAAGGGAACCAGTTGAAAGAAAGGTCCTAGCCACCTGATGGATGTCCTGTAGTTCACAAGGATGGCTTTGAGTAACTGCTTATCAATAACGTCACGGAAGATGATTTTCAATTAGCTCTTCTTACTTTCATTTCATATTCTTCATCAACTGTCAGATAATAACTCCTTTTCTTGAGCCGGTATCTCCGTATAGATGGAATGTACAGCTAGCAAAGTTCTTTACAGACATTTCAATTACATTTTAAACTTCAGATAAAGATTCAAACATTTTGATTTATGCCTTATCCTCTTGTGATTTGGCATATCATGATGCTATTGTTGAAGGAAATTTCCACAGTTGGATCTAATATCTGGGAACCAGACACTGGACTAATGAAAACCCTTTAAATAAGACCTTGGGAAAGACTTGCTTTTGGTGATGGCAACAGATGACATGTCTATTTTCTTATAATCAAACAGCCAAATGACTTTGACAGTCATCTAAATATTATATACTGAAAACTACATACAACAAATTCATCTGTGGTTGGCAAACTGTCTGAATTAAATTTTAGCACATGAAGCATAGAAAAACACTAGGCTGTAATTTTTTCATAGCATAAAAGAGATACTGAAAACATGTTTGATAAATTAGGACCTGTTCGGCACATTAGCCTATTGTTCATATAAAGCTGGGGGGCAGGTGTGCTTTCTATCTGTATCTGGCAATTGATACATGTTTTAAAACGGCAAATAAATGAATAAATGTAAAGAAATTAATAAATGACTAGCTAATTTTTTTTTTGTCTAAAGAGGTCTGATTTCTTTTAGAATAAAGTCTCCTCTAATTATTCTAAGTTCAGTCCTTCTCCCGCAGGCAAGTAAGATCTTTAAAATGGGATAAAATCACTTGAAGGGTTTACAAAGTCTGAAGCACTTGAATTTAGTATATGTTAATCTTTATAATCCTTTTCATTTGATAGATATGCAATGTATCTAAATGTAATTAGAGCAATCAAGCAGAAATCAAACATTAAAATTTCAGAGGCTTGAGGCACTTCACTTTGAAATATGTCCCATTTACCAGTATAAATATAAAGAATTATTATGATATTATACATTAATCTATGTATGTATGATTTCAGCAAAAATTTGTCAAACTACTATGGTTAATAAATGATCTGGTCACTCTAAAGCTCTAAAGGAAACATTTCAGAAGGAAGGCATTATTTTATATATAAACAAAATATTAGCACTTGGTATACATCATATTTTAAAAGGTGAATCTCAAGTTTGACGAACTATCCATGTCCGTTCTATAGTCACAGGCGTGGGTGAAGCAGCATCCATGAGGCCATCCCATTGCCATTGTTACTCAGTTGCTCATTTCCAAGGAAGGCTGCTTACTTGCAACTACCAAGGAAGAAGCAATTACTTTTCTTTCTTACATATTGATGAGATAGAGATGTTGCTAAGTTATCTTATGGAGTGAGGATTAATGAAGTAAGTGATTTTTTTTTCTAGATACAGAGACTACTATGGGCCAGAAAGAATTGAAAGTCAGTCTTTCAGGATTATCTCTTCATTAAACTTTGAATACTGGTTAATCATCTGGTTCATGCACTGTGTGAACCCAGCACTGTAGAAGTACAAAATCTGACAGACTGATGATAGCAAGGTTATAAAGATGTTGTTGTAAAAATGTTCCTCTGAGATAGAAGAGTTAAATAAAAATTAGATATTAAACACAACAATTTACTAAACAGAAGACTTTAATAATCACTGGGGATCTCATCCTTCTCCCATTTTGCTACACACCACTGACACCTCAGTTTCCTCCCCTTCCCCAAATTCATCCAATAGGCTCCAGAAAATATAACGTGCTTGCTTACTTATTGACTACATTCTAAGTACCTGGGTATATCTTTAAAGTTATATGAGAGATAAGTATTAGACATAAAATTAATATGCATTTGGCTTTATAGTCCAATGCGATAAACAAATCTTCATAAACTTAACATGTATATTTATAATGCTGACAGGAATTAAATGGAACCTTCATAAGACAACCCATATTTGTTAATTTTAATGACATGGAACATCATCCTGTAACATATTCTACCATAATTCCTGTTAAGTAGAAAAATTATTTCACATATTTCATCTAAATCCATGATATGGAAATTACTCACAATTTGTAAGATCATGTGTATTTAACATTCATAGAAATAGAGACAATCTATTTTTCATCATGATATAGAAATAAAGAGTGGCCATAACAGATAAGGAGTGAAGCAAAGACAAGCTGCTTCAAGCTGTCTTGGAGGAACTTATGAAAAGAAGACTTCAAATAATTATTGTAGTAAAATTATACAACCTCCTTGATTTACACATTAACATCCAAGGATATCAGAAAGGGAAGCAGCTGGAGACTGGCACAGGGTCCTATTCCTGAAAAATTCTGGGGTAACTGTAGAACACTCATGCTTGTTCCTGCTTGAAATGCATCAGAAGCCTCAAGAAAGAAGATTTTATTGTGAGGGCTCAGTCTAGTTGGCTGCTCTTGAGTCTCCCAAGAGGGGGAGGACCATGAGACATCACTCATGCCTACCTCTGTGGGAAGCAGAGACAAAGAACTTTTTTTTTTTTAATGCTTTTCTCATGACCAACAGAACAAGCAATTAAGAATCCCAGAAAAAAAGTGTATAATTGAAACAACTACTATCAGAATCCCTGAATACTGATTGACATTATTCTATGTCATAATCCCCATTGCAATGTCTCATTCTAGGCTGTTTTTGGAGAACTTGTCAAGAAGTAGAACCAGTTCCTCTGTCCTATCTGTCCCTCTCCTATCAGGTCTAATCAGGACTGGCTGCATCCTCTTCCTCTGTGACCTGGCAAAGAAGGAGAAGAGGAAGGGAGTGTAAGACTGTGAGGAAGTGAGGGAGGGGACTACAGCCGGGATACAAAGTGAGTAAATTGTAATAAAGAAAGAAAAAAAAAAAAGAGAGAGAAAAGATAAGTAGAACCAGTGAGTGAACTCTTGGAATCTACTCTGAAGCTCAGCCTCTCCTGGATGAAGTCTGGATCCCTGGGCCTGTAGTAGAAATGAGAAGTTAGGACCTTAAAAACCGTGTCACACTCCAAGCTGTAGACACACTGTGGGAGCTGCATAGGAAGGCAGAGAGAGGATTGGCGAGTGCAAGGAAAGGCCAAGGTATCCCTGAATGGCCTTTTGGGACCTTTCTTTCTTTTTTTTTTCTTTATTTTTATTTTTTTAAATTAAATTTAATTTTATTAATTATACTTTATTCACTTTGTATCCCCCCATAAGCTCCTCCCTCCTCCCTTCCCAGTCCCACCCTCCTTCCCCCTTCTTTTTTTAATTTTTATTAATTACACTTTATTCACTTTGTATTCCTCATA